AACCTTCAAGCCTGAGCCATCAAACCCCGAATCCGAAACCTCCAAACCCAAAGCGCAGCTTTCCAAAACCGGCAGCTCGAATCCCAAAACGCCAGAAATGCAAAGACTCAAACTTTAAGCAGCCTGCTCCACAAAACCACTCTCAAACATACCCAGTATCCGTAAGGGCCCCGGCGTACCCAATGCCGATTCCAAGAAGTTCGCGAGGTCGAACATCACCGAGGCCTTGGTATGAGAGATTCAGCTGCATGTTCTTCGCTATAGAAATAACTGTAATACCCAAAGGCTCCATGTACCCATATAGTAGATACTTAGGCCTTAAATTACCTATATAGGGACTACTTTAAGGCCAAAGTATATGCTATTTGGGTACATGGACCCTTAGGGTAACTGTAATACTGCAAGCAACCCTCTCTCAACGTGGGTTTTGGACGGTAGAGCTGGGAGCGTTCAAGGTGCTAAGGCGCCAGCCGCTGCAGCGTCCACGGCCGCCAGCCGTCGCGCCAAGGTGAGCCTGCAAGCGATGTAAGGCTTAACTGGGTTCTTGTTAAGGGATTTAATTTAAGTTACTATAATAAGGAAACCATATTATTTACTATAGAACCCGATTATGGTAACTTAAATTAAATTCCTTAACAAGAACCCAGTTAAGCAAGGGAGGGCTTGAGACTAAACCCTAAACCCTAAACCCGGGCTTTGGAGTTTAAGTCTGTTTGCAGGTGCAGGGTTCAGACTTCAGGGTTTGGAGTTTGGGATGAAAGAACGGCTAGAATAGGGTTTAGGGTTTAGGGTTTAGGGTTTAGTAGGTTTTAGGGGTATGAATCAGCATTCAACACAACTCGACAGATCAGGGGACTTCGTAAGTAGGTGATACAAGCATGTGGCTCGTGAGTCACGCCTGACAGTAACGAGCCCTTATAAATCCTAAACAACCCTACGACCGTACACTACACCTTAAGTGACAAAGGAGCCCAAAACCCTGCTTGATAAGGTGGTTACGCTTTGGGGTTTAAAGGCGTTCGCTGGGGCTGTTAGCAGGCTCGGGTGCAGGGCCACAGGCTCAAAGTCTGTTTCTGTGGGACCTCTTGAACCTCAGAAGCCCGACGTGAAATACTTGGAGGATCATGGGACTTAGCTAGTATGTAAGGTTATAAGTTACAAATGACTTGATGAGGTTATAAAGCGCATAGTCACCATAATAATGACCCTGCTTAGTTACTAAGTCCCCTGATCCTTTTCCACTAGGGCATCTGATTCCCCGTATATACATTCGAACAGATTTGCAAGGAGTCCTGCACGCACACACCAACATCCCGAACATGAACCTTCCTTCGTATTTGCTTGCAACACATGTGGCAACCCTTGTGGCAGCCCAGATAGTGATTAACACTAACCCTTCCTCGTGGCATTACCCATAATAAGGAAGATACCATACATCCCATAGTTTAGGGTCCTTAAGGTAATGCAGGATTTTCATCATCAACAGTAGTAAGTATGCATCCCTTAAACCCTAAAACCCTAAACCCTAAATAAACCCTAAAACCTAAATCCCTAAACTCTACACCCTGAAACCCCTAAACCCTGAACCCTAAACCCCATAAATCTTACCCAAAGGGTCCAAAGTACCTATATAGTAGAATGTAGGGTTTCTATATTAGGAATTGTTATTATGATTTGGGAAAGTATCCCCCATAACAGTACCTAGGACCCTTTGGGTTAGTAAGTATGCACCCTAAACCCCTAAACCCTGAACCTTAAACCCCATAAATCCTAGTAAGTATGCAGCCCTTAAACCCTAAAACCCTAAACCCCATAAATCCTAGTAAGTATGCACCCTGTTTCATGTCAGGCCTGAGAGTGATACTGCTCGAGACACTGGAGGAGAGCGTTGGCCCCTGCACTGCCGTTACCTGCGGAGAAGATGCAGGGTTCCAGTGACTTCGGGTCTGGGGTTTAAGGTTGGTTGGTTGGTTTAGGGTTTAGGGTTTAGGGGTTAAGGCGTTTAGAGTTTAGGGTGTCAGGTGTAGGGTGTAGGGTTCAAGGGTTTGAGGGTTAAGGTGTTCAGGGTTTAGGGTGTAGGGTTCAAGGGATTTCGGGTCAGGGGTTTGAGGGTTAAGGCGTTCAGGGTTTAGGGTGTAGGGTTCAAGGGATTTGGGGTCTGGGGTTTAAGCGTTAGGGTGTTTAGGGTTTAGGGTTCAACTTATTTCGCCCGCTGGGGTTGAAGGGTTGAAGCGTTTAGGGTTTAGGGTGTCAGGTGTGGGGTTCAAGGGATTTCGGGTCGGGCCCTAAGCCCTAAACCCTGCAGTGTATTGCTTGTGCGGCTTAAGGTGTTCGGGTTCAGGCTGCATGGGCTGAAGGGTAAATGCTACAGGCTCAGGGTATCAGAGGGTTTAGGGTTCAGGGGACTAATATAGGGGCCTTACTAATTAGCATAGGGTGTTGGGATCCTTTATAATCTAAACACAATAAGGAACCCCCAAAAATAGTGTAGGTAATGATTAAGGCCCCTTCTTAGCCTCAGGGTTGAGTTGTTCAGGGCATCGTTGCTCTGCAAGTAGATCGTAGAAGCGGTCACAGGTTCATGCTTTATAGGGCTTGATGTAAGGGGCTTGCAATGATTAGAGTAGGGGCTTTAGGGTACGTTTATGCTATGGTTACAATTATGTTACAATAGGGAACCCTAACAACTCCCAGGACTACCTATAGTCTCCATTGAAGTTCCTTTTTTTGGTTTAACCAATTGTAATATTAAGGATTTTATAAGGTATCCCCAAAAAGGAACTACAATGGAGACTATAGGTAGGATTATGCATTATTCCGACCCAGCAGTAACGGGCGCAAGAGGTCGGACGTGTGGGGCTTGCGTATGGACAGGGTTCTTCGATGTTCTTCTATTCGTGCGAATGGGTTTAGGGCTTAAGGTCCTTTGGATCTTACCTATAGTCTCCATTGTAGTTCCTTTTTTTTGGTTTAACCAATTATACATTCAGGATTTTATAGGGTATGCCCAAAAAGGAACTACAATGGAGACTATAGGTAGAGTTCTTGTATGTTCAGGTTCTGGGACGGGGATCCCAGACCGTTGCCTGCAGCTTTGCGGCAGGCGACGTGAAGTCGGCAACCGTGCTGCAAGCCACCTGAGCAACGCACGTAGGAGTGATACGATCTCATTTCTGCAACACCTAATTGATCTAAACAACATGCAAATATATCAAGAATATGTCCATTTGATACTGCAATTTCACTCATATCTTCATAAAAGTTTATACAATCTACATAATATTTTGCATTACCTTTTATACAGCGCAGTGAAACACGGTTAGTGGATCCCAGAGCCTCCTCTCAATGGTCATCGCTAGGAACGCCCAAACCCTAAACCCTTAACCGTAAACTTTAACGGTTTAGGGTTTGGGGTTTAGGGAATTTAAACCCTGAACCCTAAATCCCAATAGGGAATTTAAACCCTAAACCCTAAATCCTAAACGTATGAAGGCGACTTACACACTTTCTCCAGGTTGCCACCCAGTCATTAGACTTCATAATTCAGGTTAAGGATTGAGGAAGTGGGGTCTGGCATCTTCAGCAGAATATAATGTAATAGAGTATAATGCAATAATGAAATATATTATGATTTAATGTAATATAATAAACCTAATATCATGTAATAATCATAGAACCATCTTACAATATAACATATAATTGGATTGAGGGTTGGGGATTTGGCGCTGACGACAAAGAAGCGAGGACGGGAGGGCCAGCCTGGGAACAATGGGAATGGCGGTAGTGCAGGGGCCTTACCTCCCTAAGGCTCCATGTACCCATATAGTAGATACTTAGGCCTTAAAGTACCTATATAGGGACCCCTTTCAGGCTTAAGTATCTACTATATGGGTACATGGAGCCTTTGGACCTCTATCCCCAAACCCTACAAAGTAGTAGGTTATGACCCCTTAATTAGAGGGTCTAACCCTTAAAACGGTAGGCTTTTGGATCCCCAGGTAACAATTAGAAAAGTGTTTTGGGGTGGCTTTATAGTATGATGAAAGTCAAAAAAACCCTAAGAACTCATATTGGTAAATGCTCAGGCCCCTACATTATTCATGATACCAACATACCAGCGACAAAGACAACAATCATCACAATACTGATATCGACCACATGAGACACGATGAAGCGTTTCATGATGATGGTGGTGGTGGTGATTCCGATGGAAATAGTGAATTACGCTGATGATGCTGCTGATGGTGAGGATGACGATGATGTTCATGATGCTCGTCCCGGCCATGGTGGCGATGATGATGTTGATGAGGATGACGACGACTAGGACGAGGATGATGTTTATAATGATGAAGATGATGATGATCACAAAAGGACGCCCGCGCCGCACAACTCTCAACCCTAAATTCCCACACCCTGAACCCTCTTGCATTTCTCAACCCCAGACTTACGAAAACTCTCGCATGGAAGCTCTAAATCATGAATGCTAAGCTGAACCCTGAAACTTAACCCTTGAACTCTTAGGCCTTCAACAAGCCCTAACCCTGAACCTACCCACAAATTTTAGCGTGCTTCTCTGGTCTAGTAAGTCGAGGGTCCATTACTCCGTGGCTCTTAGCAGGGAATGGCGGGAAATGGATCCTTATGACCATCCGTTGAGGTCCCTTATAATAGTCCCCGTAGCTCAATCCCCCATTCCCTGCTATTTAGGGTTTAGGGTTTAGGGTTTAGGGTTAAGGGTTTAGGGTTTAGGGTTTAGGGTTTAAGGGTTTAGGGTTATAACTCAAAATCTGATTTTAAATCCTGGCTGAACCCATGTAGGGTCTGCTT